CAAAAACATTGAAAAACCGGATTTTTTTAAAAACATTCTAGCGACGGACGAATGTACTTTTACGCGAGACGGGATATTAAATTTCCATAACACTCACACATGGGCCCAAGAAAATCCTCATACCATTCGTGAAAGGTCATTTCCAACAACGTTTTAACATAAATATTTGGGCGGGTATTCTTGACGATCAGGTAATTGGCCCTTTGGAGTTACCCCCAAAGTTATGAGGAGAAGGATACCTTAGCTTTCTAGCCAATAACCTACCAGAACTTTTGGAACAGATCTTAGACAACATGCCATTACAACGGAGACAGAATTTGTGGTTTCTTCATGATGGGGCACCACCACAAATTTTTAGAGGCGTCATTCAGTATTTGCGTGAACATTATCCAAATCGCTGGATCAGTCGAAATGCTCCTGATCCTCGTAAATGGCCAGCAAGCTCTCCTGACCTCAATCCGATGGATTTCTGGTATTGAGGAGAACTTAAAGGAATGGTTTATGGGGCTGGTCCAATAACAACTGAACCACAACTTCGCGAAAAAAATTTTAATGCTGCTGAAATAATAAATGGACAACTTCGAAGATCTAGAGTAAGAAGAAACTGGGTTCGTCGTAATGAAGCTTGTGTGGAAAGTGGAGGACGACATTTTGAACACCTTTAAATACAAAAGAGTGCAGTGTGGGTTTTAAAAAGAAAAACAATGTATATATGTATGAAAGTTGTGTTCCCTATTTATAGGTGGATTTTTTAATACGTTCAATAAACTTTCACACACTAGGTGAAGCGCTGAGACAGTTAGTGGTACGTCCGTTTTTTTTTAATAGTTTGCATTTTAGGAGTACATTATCATATAATGAAATAATACCTAACAGCCAAAAATAACAAACTCCATCTTTATTTACACTGCGTTCCGTCGTAGTTTGCGCCTGGCATTGCGGCGTTGTCAGATTTTATTTTACTTTAAAGTCGCTTTTCTCTAAAAAATGCCGTTTTGACCCCCATGTTATATGAAACGTTTTGCTTCTTTTAACCCCCTCTATCACTCATTTAAATAATGACTATCATAACGTGTACACCCTATATAAGAGATACGGGACTAAATATTTTGATTACTTATATAAATCAGTGTCATCAGCGAAAATTTGAATTTTGTGCTTTTCGACAGGTAAATCATTTATGTACAGTATAAACACTGCGTGCGTGTATGTGCTATTTATCTGTTATGTAAGCAGTCACAAATATCGCACTAGTCGGCCGTAATAGAAATGTTCATTTATCTTGGTACAAGGGTTTGATTAAATTTATATAAATCATTGCTTTTGCTGGTTCATAATATACTGGCACAGAAAAAGAACACCCACTAATACTGATTTTATAGAAAACATTTTCTAGGTAAGTTTGATTATGTTAGGGCAAAAAACCAACAGCTCTTCATTCATATCGATGAAGTGATTTTAGTGATATCGTCTGTTCTTACAAAAAAGTAAGCGATAGTTGTGTTTTGTAGCTACAATTGGCATGTGATCATGCTTTAATCTGTCCATTACGCCTAGAGTGAAAAGACGAGATAACTTTCATCAGCTTAGCGAGTTTCGTAGGGGGCGATTACTGGGCTTGAGTGAGGCTGGTTAGTCCTTTAGAGAAATAGTTACCAGGCTACGCAGATGTTTAAATACGGTGGTGGTTTTTGTTGGGCCTGGAATAAAAAAGGCCGTCAATGAACGGACCGCTTCTATACCACAATGTCAATTGCGGACCAATTGTTTGAGAAACATGGAAAGCATATCACAATTCGAATTGCTTATTGCCAGATCAACAGTTTTGGATTTACTTCATAGCGTCCTCGGTTTGTCCTACCTCTCACTCATAGGCACCAAGGTGATCGACTGGCTGGGTGCATTTAACGTCTGACCTAGGACTTAGAATAGAGTGTCATTGTCTCTAGTGATGAATCCAGATTCTGTTTGGGCATGTATGAAGACCGCGCAAGGGTTAAAACGCGTAAGACGAGATTCTAAATTTTCTATGGTGTCCACCACACAGCAGGAATTATGGTATCGAGGGCTTTTGCTCATAGAAGCAGGTGCGTTTCATCCAGGAGCTGAGGGAACCACATGTTTTGCCTTATATTCGAACGCTTAACAACCCACTTTTTCAACAAGATCATGCGCAGCCACATATAGCCTGAATTATTTGGGTCCATTTTGAAGACAATCAAGTAAATTTGCTGCCCTGACCCCTAGATCTCCCGCTCTTTCACCCATTGAACACGTCTGGGACTTTATGGCAATAATATTACTCCGTTTACTCTATTGTTCACATACTCAAGGGGTAGTTTGTCAAGAGGTACAAGTAGCCTGGGAGGGGGTACCTCAAGAAGAAATCGATCCCGTTATTTGGAGTATGCCCAGACGTGGTTAAGGAATCGGGGAAGCCCAACACATTAATTTCTTAGATTTTCTCATTGGTCGAATATTTTAATCAGTTACTACCTAAACCTGAAAAATTGTTGTAAAGTAGACGACAACGATATTAGATTCGGTTTCATTTTTGGCCGATAGTTATAAAACGGCTATAAGACCAAGAACCGGAGACGTGAGGACAGGGATGGATGGGAAAGCTTTCAAACATTTTCTCTTGCAAGTCTGGATGAGATGAGAGATGACCGGATGTAGTTCTTGAGGTAACGTTGATTGTTATTGTAATTAATTATCCCAAAATTAGTTAAAAGTGCATACAACTAACCAAAATATACATATGTATGTATATCTGATTGTAGCGATGTCAAAGTTGTAAAGCTGCTTACCTAATTTGCTATGTTGAGGAGCCTTCTTCCAGAAAGGTCATTAAGGTCATTCACATAAGTACATATTTCATTTCACTACAAGTTAATCCTCTTCTTCCAAAGACTTATTATTGACGTGAATAATGAACTTCGCGTTACCCAGTTGGTGAATCTTATGTCGTTATATTCATTTTCAATTTATAGGACTCTGCCGATGGCTTCCATCCAATATAATTCAGTGATTTGGCCTGCCTCTGATCTGATGAGGTCGGCTACGGCTCGGACACTAGTCGGACTTATGTCCCTTCGGCGTTATTAATATATCAACTCTATGGGATTGAATATACAAAAATAAGGTGGCAGTCATTTCGTCAACAACACACCTTTTCTCAAACTGTCTTGTACGGAGCACTTCCAATAATTGTATAAGAATCTTCAAAATAGAGTTCGTTCTCCACAAGACAAATAACAATACCGCATTTTGAACGCAACCAGCTGTGGACCTCGGTTGGCCGCGTGGGTCAGAGTGTCGTGCTACTGATCAGCCGGCCGGGCCGCGAGTCCGAATCTCGCCTTCGCCATGGATGTTGTGTGTTTGTTTTAGGCAGCAGCGGTGACCGCAGTAGTAGACTCTTCGATCTCCTGATCAGCCGCCGTGCGCTGTGCGGGTTCGAGTCCCGTCCCAGGAGAAATGTTTCTCTTGGCCATGGATGTTGTGATTGTCCGTAGGTGGTAGATGGTCTCTGACTGTCGAACGCGGAGGTACCACCCGGCGGTTCTCGTAGGCGGAGCCAGAATGTGTGCATGTTGCATGCACACGTGTTCCCTCGCCAGAGTACGTGTGGCGTCCCCCCTTTCCCATGTATCCCCCATAGCCCCACGGTACCCAATGGGTGCTTAGGCCTTAGGCCTTCGTGGTAGTTGGAGTATAAAAAAAAAAGTAACAATGCAGAATGACCTTCCGGGGTGCTTTATTTGGTAGTACACTTTTGAACTGACATTTTGTGGGTGAGTCGGTTTTTTGCTGTATAATCTGTATCGTACCATGTCTCATCCAGGTAATATATTGGCCTACCTTCTTCCCTATATTCTCTGATCGTTTCTAAATAAGCGTGTAGCCATTCCATTATGCGCTTACTTTCTACGTCTGCAGATCTCTTGCTGATAACTCAAAATTTCAATCTGACCTTCTGCAGCCACCTCTGAAATGTACGCTTGTAACAACTCTCGCCTCTTTCCATCAATTCTCGATGTACCATCTCTGCTGTGGGAATTTCATTATGTTTATAATGATCATACACTATGTCTCTTATTTTGGCAATTGTTGCTGCACTTAATGGTATAGATGTTCCCTTGTCAATTCTTCTTTTTCTTGGTTTGACACCGTTACGAATGATTTTACAAATTGTAGGATATGGCACGTTAGTCAGTTCGAATGTTTGTTCCAAGACGCTACTATTGCCGCTATCATCCATTTCACGCAACAGTCGATTATAAACATTAATGCAAATCTGTTGAGCATCAACGGACATGCACTTTCCTTTATAAATACGACGGTATTCCTGACTATCATTGCTACCTCCGTTACCACTATCAGTATCATGCGCACTGACAGTATCACTGTCCGAAAAATATTCGCTGCAAAATGGATTTCCATCATTCATAGCGCCTTTGTACATATCATATTTGATGTCCGTGGGCCGCTGATCTGTCTGAGCAAATCGTTTCCAAGGGCGGGAAAAATTCGTATCGCACATAATTATTATCCAAGTCCGTCAAACTCGATTGTCTACATACATAGAACTGAAAATACATTCCGAGTACCGCTTTGTTGCATCGCGCTGGATTCACCTGAGCGGCGCTCGAGATAGATTCAGGTCTTCATAGCGCAGTCACATTACGTAAACTTGTTGCTATGACAGAATCGAAACAATGCGATTTTTTAGATTCGCTACATTCAAACCCATTGTATCGAACTATTAGACCTTTTTAGGTTATTGCACAGTGCTCAAATGTATAACTTATGCAGATGAACCAGATTCCATTATTATTTATACCGTGTCATATAATGACCGTACTAGATATCGAGACGGTAACATAAGGAAGCAGAAAAAATCTAAACAGATCCAATATCGTTGTCTCCATTAATAAATTCATGAATACCCGGTGTCAATGAGGATTAAATCGACTTTTGTAAGGAATAATAAACACTTGAAGCACAACTTAATTTTGTATTAGCTCAGTTACGTTTGTTACAAAATCGACGATTGACATGACATTAAATTTGACGACGTGACAGTTACTCTCGATGACAGACCAATTGTGACAGGAATTCTACGAGTGTCCTTGTGGGTCGACCGGTCATGCCCCTGCGGAGGTATGCATATTCTTCGCCAGTGGTAAACATCACTCCGTAGCTGTCAATGTGCATCCAATCACCGCAAGGGACGAATTCGTTCAAGAATGCGGCCACTTTGCAGTTTTCACCGCATCTTGGTCTGCCTCCCCTGCCGAAGGTCTTCACATCGACTGCGGGATGGTGGGCTACCAGTTTCGTGAAGTGTTCCCACAAGGGAAATCTCCATACCTAGAAGAAACATAATAATAATATTGTCCGGAAGACATGAAAATCCATGTATAGGACACGCAATAAGTTAACACTCACAAAGTAACAAAGTCACTAACAGAGTAGTAGCATTTTTCTTGAAGAAACATCTTTAAATTTCTTTAGAAACAGTTAGCTGTTTGGCTATTTTTAATATTGGTTGGAAGCCAATTAAAACCCTTGGGATACAATATATCTTACATACTGTTTATTCTATAGTTAGCACAAGAAACGTGCAACTGTTTGCATTGCCTTGCACCAAACTTATCAACGCAATAATTCACAATTAATTTGTGCTGATTGCAGAAAGTATAAAGGGCCATCTCCACGACGTATAATGAAGGTAATGACCATACTTTTCAAAAAGTCATTTCCAGCTGTGGATACGACTTACTCCGCAATATATTGTTTTGGCAGATGAATACACACTAGGCGTATGGTGAGCTACCCCAAAAGCATGAGCCATACCGAAGCCTGGATTTTACCTGAGCGTGGTATGTTGCTACAAATTGACACTGAGCTATAGTTGTAGTTACCGTTCTTGGCAGTTATGTCATCAACGTCATATGAAATAGTAGTAGTAGAAAGATTTATTTAGCACATTTGGCTACATAAACAGAACAATTGTAAACAACTTAGAACTAGTAAATTCAAGCCATATGGTGTATGATGCAAATGCTGGGCAACCTATAATTGTAGATTTAACAAGTGATTTCTCAATTTTACTTTAAATTTTGTCAAAGTTTTCTGGTCTTTTATCTCCGAGTATAATTTATTATATCCAATCAACCCTTGATGGAATACAGATTTGTAGCATATCTTATACTTTTTGGTCATTAAATGGAAGTCATCTTTATTTCTGGTATTATGTAAATGATGGTCGACATTTGATGATGTTAAATTAGTTAGACTTGATGGAAATATATTATTTTTTACTTTATAAATGAATATCATTACAAGATATTTGATAAAATTTTTTACATTGAGCCATTTTAATTTGCTCAGCATTTGCCTAATTGGAGTATATTTATCTTTATTTAGTATTATTCTCATGCACTTATTTTGTAAAATTTGCAGTCTTTCAAAAATGGAATTATTTGCTAAATATAGAATAGTCGAACAGTACAAGAAATTTGGAAGAATGATGGTATTATAGATAATTTTTCTGCTATATGAACTCAGACATCCAGAAACTCTCGATAAATATCCCACTTTACTACTAATCTTATTTATAACTTTTTCATAATGAATATCAAAAATTAATCGAGAGTCAACAAAAACTCCCAGGTATTTAAAATTTTCTACGAATTCAATATCTTCACCATCAATATTCAGTTGAACATTTGTACATTGTTTTTTCCGATTAACAAGGCTTTCGTTTTACTTGCATTTAATTTTAGTCTGTTAGATGCTAACCATTTTGAGACAAGCTTCAAGTCTTCATTTATATAAGAGATACCAGACTGAATATTTTCAGTACTTATATAAATCATAGTGTCATCGGCGAAAATTTGAATTTTGCATTTTTTGACTATGGCAGGTAAATCATTTATGTATAAAATAAAATGAAGTGGTCCCAGGATACTGCCCTGTGGAACATCCAACGTATTTTCAATTTTTGATGAAATAGTGTCATTAACTTTTGTAACTTGCATCCTTTTAGACAAATAATTTCTAAACCAATCTAAAACACTTCCTGTTATACCATATGCCTTCAATTTACCTAACAAAATAAGTAAACAGGGTGCAGACTAATCTTAAGCGCATCTGCTACTCTCTGCAGTACGCATGACGTGGGTAACAGGGGACCGCTGTTTTCATTCTCTTCCTGGAAATACTCTTACAAATTTAGCACGAGCTGTTGGCCTCCTCCATTGATCGTATTTCCGGGCATTGCACAGTTTTATATTGAAGATTAATAACAAGATACCTCGAATTGCACGCCGATGTTGAGTAAGTTGTCACTCTGAGAAGTATGATCGAAGGTCGCTCATACGTAACGACAAAGTTTTAGAGCTTACCGAACAAACGTTCTCACACAGGGGTAGGTTGTATGTGTATGTATGAGGGAGATAGATATATGTATAGGGATACTTGTAGTCTTACTGGGACCCTCCAAGAGCAATGACTACAACTATAGCATAGTCCTTAAGTTTCGTATTGCAAAAGCATGCGAATTTAGTTTCGATACCACATGATCACAGTGTGCTTTGAAATTGCAACCCACATCTACATAAATCCCCCGAAACTTCATATTGTCCTCTATTGACAGTGGTGCTTCATTGTCCTTCAAATTCTATGGTACTAGTTTCTTCTGAGGATTGCGTAACCGTCATATCTGAATTTAGAAATAGTTGTTGTTCAGCGAACCGATCATCTAAAATGCCTAAGAGAGTGTTACATCTACTGATTAGAAGCTCGTCACCGGTATTTGATAACAAAACGAATGTGTCGTCAGCGTATAACGTGAATTTGGTCGATCAAAGTAACTATTCCAATCGTTAATGGATAGACAAAATTTCAAATCATGGCAGACGGCATTTAGATGACATTATGCTAAAGATAATTACCCTGTCTCCGGTATGCATCGACGCAGCTAACATATACTCCCACAAGGCCTCTGAGTTGCTCCAAACTCCAGACGCCGCAGCACCTAGTGCATGCTTCATGTCGTTGGTCATAGTTCCGATATCTACGATAAATCTAGGCCAGAAGTTTTGAGCATACACCAGGGCATCCGCTAGGCAAAGTCTTCCCGCTGTGTCTGTTGATTCGATTTTGATGCTCTTACCATTCATAGCCTGAAACAAAATGATTTGTTAGTATCATATACAGGGTAATATTGAAGTAAAAATGTTTTGGATCAAATAGTTTTAATAAGCCACTTATAACAGAGAAATTTCTCACCATTTGAACAGAGTCTTAGTTGAAGACATGGCGTTAGAATTAGAAGAGCAGAAAATGGCGTCGTAGTTTGACCCTGCTTTTCCAAAGCAATGCTGTTATCAGTTCATAAAGGATTATATTCGACATATGGTAGCCTCTCTACAAAAAGTTGGCTACGAATATCTATAACAAAGCAATTGAATGGATCATGCCAGTCAAACAGCCTCATGCCGTTAATCCATAGTCCCCATATATTTGACAACATTCCGGTCTTGCCCATCTCCCTACTGACAATACCTATCATGCAACAAACATGGCTCCCTCACGGCATTGCATACACGGTTACACGCACATCATTCCTGACTCAGTTACCCATCAGATCTGTCTCGTTGAGTATGGAAAATATATGTTATTCAAATTCAAAAGGTGAAATCTATGATGTACGTAATTATGTCTACTTTCTCATGTTGTGGAAGGGTCAATGATTAGCAGACAGACAGATAGACAGACAGACCGTAGGAAGTAAAAAAAGAGGCAAATGCTTACCCTAACAATATCACCAGGTCTCATTGCAGCACATCCGGGCATGTTTTCACATAAAGGTATGAGCGCTCTTATATTGATAGGCAGCTGAAGACCGGCAATTGCTCTACAAGCTGCTACAACACAAGCTGCTCCGCCCATGTCTCCTCTCATGAACCTAAAAGTGGTAGAATTTTTAAAGAGATCAATATCGCGAATAATGATTTTCCAAAATCTGATATGTATGTAATGGTCCTCAATTTTATACTATTCTTCCAGGCCTTATCCTTCACACGTGTGTTTCACGGCACTGTGATTCAAGCAAAAAATACATAGATCATGAGTTCCAGAATGATGCGTCCAAAGGCATTTATTGTCCTATGGTGGAGTTACCTGTGCTTTGGTATAATAGTGCCCCTAGATTTTGTTAGAAGCTATTTGATTTTGAATGGTCTGGCAAGCTTCTGGCAGTTAAATTTGGATTTTATCTGCCAACAGATAGGATTGGGGCTTACCTTTGTTTGTTGCAAGGCTTCAGGCATAATCCACCGCTGTTGTATGTGATTCCTTTACCGATAAGGACAACAGGTCTCTCGTCTTTGCATGCACCGTAGTAACTCAGTTCCAAGAATATTGGTGGTTCACAAGAACCTATATACAAAAAGGTAGTCCGTTGTTACATTTTTAGTATAGGTATATGATATTTCAATATACAGGGTGTTTCAGAACTAAGAGATGAAACTTCTAGGGGTTATTCAGTGTAAAAGTAGAAAACATTTGAGTATAGTTCCCATATCCGGAAAAGTGTCACTACGGCTTTAAGACGCGTTAAGATATAGATAGACGATGAATTGCCTAAATAGGATTTAATGTATTTAATTTTTGCCTTTTGTACATGATATCATCACAACATATGTCCAAAATATCTTCCTCTAACCTGAATACACCGATTTAAACGTCGCACATGATTTAGGCGGACTTGACTAAAAATTTGATACTCGTTTTGAATAATTTCAAATGCTGCTGTAATTCGTCCAATTAAGTCTTGCTCTGTTTCTACTTGAGTTTCGTAAACCAAAGACATTACATGTCTTCACAGGAAAAAATCTAGCGACGTTAAATCGGATGACCTAGGAGACCAAGAAACTGCTCCACCTCTGGCAATCCAGCGGTGCCCAAACCACTGAAGCTGAAACCACATTTGATGTCGAACGTTCAATGGAACATTTTCAAGAATTCCTGGAAGAACTTCCTCCAAGACACGCCGGTAAATAGGTCCTGATAACCGTTCCGGTAGAAGGTATGGCCCAATCAAATAATCATCAACAATGCCTGCACATACGTTGACAGGCCAACGTTGCTGATGTTTTCTAGGAAAAATTGCATGGGGATTTTCTTTGTCCCAAACGTGGCTATTAAAAATAATGTCTCTTGTGAAAGAGGCTTCATCGGTCCATAAAAGATAGCGTCAAAGATTTGGTTGTGCAGCGATTTGATGCCATTGACAAAATTGAACTCTAGAATAATAATCGGCTGCAGTCAATCCTTGAAATTTCTGGAAGTGGTAAGGATAAAGTTGTTGCTCGTGTAGCACCCGCCAGACGGAAGCGTTACTCGTATTCATATCCTCAGCAATGTGGCGTGTGCTACTTGATGGTTCGTCGGCAACTCGCTGAAGGACCTCTTCCTCAAATTCGACCATTCTTACGGTTCGAGCAACACCATGTTGGTTTTAAACTTGCCTGTCTCGGAGAGCCGCCGATGAATATCAATAAACTTTTTGTATCCCGGATGCTGTCGTTCGGGATAACGTTCTTGATACAACCGCGCTGCTGCTCGTGCATTGCAGCTTGTTGCTCCGTGTATGCCAATTCTTGATTGGTAAAGTTTTCCATTAGCAACAATTAATTTTTGTTAAATTCTTGTAAACTTCACAAATATGATAGCACGACCAAGGCGATATGGAATGCAGCTACAAAAAACAATCTCTGATATCGTTTTTAAAGATAACAACATACAAGCGCCGGATATGGGTCGCTATACTCAAATGTTTTCTACTGTTACACTGAATAACCCCTACAAGTTTGGTCCCATAGTTCTGAAACACCCTGTATTTAGGCCACAATCGATTTTCTCAAAATCTTGAAGACAGTGTTAATAAATATGAGTAAATAGTAGTAATTCAGACAATTCCAGGGGGGTTTGTAGCTTGATTCAAGCAATCCACACTATTTATTGTAGAATTCTAATTTGAAGTTTTTTGGAGTTGGTTCAATAGACAGGAAGAATAACCTTGAGCTACAGCTAAGAAAGCGTTCATCTGTTGAGTCTCCGCCCAGCCTTTGACTTTGACTTCTACGTTTATTCCAGATTTACAAAGCACTTCTACAGCATTTTGTGCGAAACTTGTCGGAGTCATCATATTTGCTGGACAGTCCATCAGTTGCCTTGCCAAGTTCTGTGCTGCAGCTTTTTGTAGTCCAATTTGCCAACCTGCATAAAAGGAATATCAATATTATACCGACATTTTCGGAATTACAATCTCTATCGCTACATTAAAAATGATATTTGTTACTCAATCACACCAAAATGGCTGAACGGATCGGAACGAACATGGCACAAAGATAAATTATAGCAAGGGATAGCACATAGGCTATGGGCTTTTTATGCTGAGAAATAACTGTAATATATACAGGGTGGCGCATCGAAAACGAAATAGACGCATTCACTGGCAGCTCAATTTTTTTTTTTTGAAAAACGCTCAGACCCGTCGATTTTGTTTTCGAGGGGGACACAAGCTTGGCAAAAAATCACGTTAGCAAGTGCAGCCCCCTAAGCGGGGGTGACACCACCCCCAAAATCTTAAATGGAAAGGGGGGTCAAGTGATACCTTATTTTAAAGGTCTTTCAATTTTCTTTATAATGATATAAAATTAATGTACTTCAGTTCAGTAGTTTTAAAGATTTATTGATTTAAAGCTTAAATAAAACTAATACATCATCATTAGTGGAGATCAATACATTTGGCAGCAAAGTAATTTAGAAATGAAGAATGAACTGACCCGTTAGGCAAGTAAATGTTGAAAATGGCCACCATGACTCTCCATGCATAATAAAGATTTTGCTCAAAACGTTGCCGCACATTTTGCAATATTTGAGGAGTAATTTGAAGGCACTCATTCACAATTCTTAATCGCAGGTCTTCTAATGATGTTGGCTGAGTAGCATAGATTTTGCTTTTTAAATGACCCCATAAAGAGATCCAAAGGTGATAAATCTGGCGATCTTGAGGAACATTCAATGGCACCTCTTCTACCAATCCATCGATCTGGAAACGTCTGATCTAAATATTGTCGAACACGTAATGCATAATGTGTTGGGGCACCATCCTGTTGGAACATCAACCTATTCGCAATGTATCGCCGACCATTCAGATTTTCAATTATGGCTGTTAATACAGGATCTATGGCGTCTTCCAGTAATTGCAAATACATTTCACCGGTCAAATTTCCAGGTAAGAAAAAAGGACCAACTAAATTATCGCCAAAAGTACCAGCCCAAACATTTAATTTTTGTAGCTGCTGTGTATGAACCTCATGATAAATTCTGGGATTAGAATCGGACCAATATCGGCAGTTACGGCGATTTACTAAGCCATTTAAGAAAAAGGAACATTCGTCGGAAAAGCAAGTGTTGAATAGAAAATGTTCATCGTTCATAATTCGTTCACTCATATCTTCACAAAATTGTTATCGCCGATCAAAATCGTCTTCATTATGTTCTTGTACCAGGTACGGATGAAAACTATGGTACTTTAGAATCCGTTGGACAGTACGTCGACTAACACCACAAACAGTCTCCAATTTGCGGGTACTTAACGTAGTATCTACATAATCTTGCCCTAAAACCCCCACTTCTATTGGCTCGTTCCTTATGGGATTTTCAATGTTGCGTTTTTATTGGCGGCTGACCCAGTTTCCCGAAATTTAGCTACAAGTTCTAGAACATATTTTCGATGCACGTTACTGTTCTCATGTCGCTCATTAAATATGTCTGCTGTTCTATTAGCGCACTGATTATTTCCGAAAAATATTTCGATAATTTCAACTCTTTCTGCTGTGGAATATACCATGGTTAATTTATGTAAGTTGCGTTACAAGTTATTGTAGCAACAAAGTTTGGTCAAATCACTAAATTCCTATTTAAAATAAGTACGCGATATTTCCTTATCTTTCTTCAAGAAATAACTTTTTTGCCACAAAAAAACGCTCCAATAGCTATTTTCAGCAACAAAATGATGAACAAACCATGGGCGCAGTGAAGGAAAGCATTTACTTATTAAGTAAATTCTTTTAGTAAAATTTCTTCTGAAAGTAGTAGAAACTAATCGGATGTACCTATTAAAGTCTACTTTAAGCTTTAAATCAATAAATCTTCAAAACTACTGAACTGAAGCTCATGTATTTTACATCATTATAAAGGGAACTGAAAGACCTTTAAAAAAAGGTATCACTCGAACCCCCTTTCCATTTAAGATTTTAGGGTTGGTGTCACCCTCGCCCAGGGGGCTGCACCTGTTAACGTGATTTTTTGCCCAACTTGTGTCCCCATCGAAAAAAAAATCGACGGGTCTGAGCGTTTTTCCAAAAAAAAACTGAACTGTCAGTAAATGCGTCTGTTTCGTTTTCGATGCGTCACCCTGTATATTTCAAAGGGCTTAATAGAACTTAACATGAGGTGTCGCGCGGAAGCGCCCAGTCGCCGAACCGACAGAAATGAGTAAGGGAATATAAATAGGGCATTTTCATCGTGCATTTATCACCAAAATTATATGAAATAATACCATAGAGTATAAAAGATTATTCTTTCGGTAATTATTATAATAAAAATTAGAAATAGTGGAAATGTTCTATTGCAAGGATGGACATTCATAAATTAGTAACAAATATTTGAAATTATACTTAAAACTTGATGATCTATATGCTTTACACTTATTTATTGATTCTATTAAAGTTGCAAGATAAAATTACTTGTCCAATGTATTGTTTTGCATCTATTTACTCACATTCACTTACTTGTAGTTTGAGTAAGTAGATCATTATAATGCAAATAAAGAACATTTTGATCATATTTCTAATCGATACTTGTCAAAGTTTGCCAAAAGAATATTGACTAACCAATGTTTCTATTCAGTTGATGAGTACGTTGATGCTATGACGTGACTCGGCAAGATAATAAATTAGTTTTTAAGAACTCACATGTACATTGTATATACATAATGCGACCAATAAATGGTATAGTGAGGTATTATTTACTGCATTTTATTAAAAATGCTGAAGTGTGTAAGTTTGTATGTAGGTTTCGTTTTCATGCGAAACGTCTGAATCGATTTTGATAAATTTTGGAATATCGATTAGACGGAGACGGACATAGCTAAAACTTGAAGGGGTTTAAATAGGGGTTAAAAGTTACTATGGGAAAGCTATTATTCTTTAAATGAGGGATACAAATATTGGTATTGAATGTTTAGTTCTTTGTTATATGATGTGTCGCTCACAAAGGAATTTTGGAAATGCCACATCTTAACGGTAGGGTGAGGGCTGATTCTCTTGGAGCAAGATAATTAGGCCAATCTACAAGTAGGAATATGTTTGGCCTAAAATAAGAAATATTTATAAAGAATTCCGTTAATTATGTCCTTAAGATGGAGTAGGGGGGTGTGAATATTTCTATGAGGTAACATTCCGGTAATTATGTCCTTAAGATGGAGTAGGAGAGGGTTAAATATTTCTATGAGGAAACATTACCTTTCAAGCTCAGTTTATAGAAATTAATCTCAAAAACTTTTCATCTATCAACACAAAATTTAGGAGAGAGGTACCTTATGGATAGGACATGACTGCTAAAAAGAGACGTCGCGAGAGGGTTGTATGCTTAGACGTACAGTCACGGACAAAAGAATCGAAAGATTTTTATTTAAAACATTTTTCCAGCTCGCCTCGTATACAACAACAATAAATTGTGCCGTTTCATTTTATATGCCTGCTTAGGTATCACAGATTTTCACGTGTCGTTTCAAAAATTCTAAAGAAGTATCGGTTACTAGGAAACGTTACTAATCGGACAAAGTCATCCTAGAAAAACTACCCCCTATGTTGATAGAGGCATTAAAAGAATTTCGGTAGCTGAACCGCATATGTCAATCGTCCAAATTAATATAGAAATTCGTCAATATTTGAACACAGACATAACGGCCCGTACTGTGAACAGACATCTATGTGAAGTTGGATTGTTTGGAAGAGTTGCTGTCAAAAAACCGTTACTGTCCAAAAAGAATCAAAGTTTGCTCAGAGACATTTAAATTGGACACCTAAAAACTGGGTTACGGTGCTTTAGAGTGACGAAAGCAAATTTAAAATATTTGGTGCTGATGGGAGATCGCTTATAAGAAGACCTGTCGGGAAAAGATTTGATATCAGGTATCAAAAGCCTACAGTAAAGCATGGTGGTGGTGGCAGTGTCTGGAACGGGCCCGATACTGAGAAAAACCGGTAAAATGGATCGCTTTATGTACCGCCACATATTACAGAATACTTCGTTACCTTATGCAAAAGAAGGAATGCTGCTGTTGTGGACATATCAACAAGTGAACGACCTGAAAAATTTATCCCATTTAGTAAAAAATTGGTTTTTAGAAAAAAGCGTTGATTTACTCGAATGGCCTTCACAATCCCTCGACTTCAGTCCAATTGAGCACCTTTGAGCACTTATAGCAGAAAATTTGACAAAGAATTATTCCTGGTGAGAATGATCTATGCGAAGTTCTACAAGATGAATGGCGGAAGATTCCAGTTGATCTGTGTCGAAATCTTGTTGATTCCATTCCAGGAAGATATAGGGAAAGTCATTAAGGTGAAGGGATTTCCAACAAAATCCTGACATTGCTTGTTTAATTTGTGTTCTTTTTTTTTATAAAAATATTCTTTCCATTCTTTTGTCCAAGAGTTTTCTTTATTTATAATATATGAGACTTGGTTTTATTTCGCATTTTCATTTATATCGAAAATCTTACTAAGTTAGTAGTGGTTAGTAGTATTTTTTAGTATTTAATTAATTATTGATTCACAAATATTAAGAGTATAACCAGAAATAAATCTTTCAATACTTTTGTCCATAACTGTACGTTCTTTAGCTTCCTCTTGCGACCCCCAAACCTACCTTGACATGGGTTCGCTTTTTATTGATATTCCTAATATAAAACAGCGGTATTTGAAAATACAACTAGTGGAGAATATTTTGAGAAAGTAAATGAGAGCAATGGACCTGTATTACTAATTCATGTTTGGTTTTCCCTGTGTGTCGTTTTCCTATAAAGCTTCGGCCCCGTACAAATTTCAATTAGTCAATTTGCTTACACATTTCGTATGGGATTGATGACATACCCGTCAAAAACCGGGAAAAGAACTAAAGAAGAGGAAATTAGTATCTGAGATGCATCTTAGTATTTGTGTCTATGCGCCACTTCAGCATGGTGCACGTTAAAAATGCATTTACGCCCTGCTTCCCAATATTCTGATTTCCTATATTTACAAAGTTTTCTGATTCCCAAATTTCCAAATCTGGCAAAATCCTCAGAACTTAAAAACCTTCAGATGATCTGTATTCATTATTACCTGTCCAGTCGCAGTCATCGTATAGCTCTAGTGTTGGAATGAGCTTTTGTTTATTAATATTCTTTTTCTCCTGATACAGCCATACACCAAGGGCGCTTCCTTCAGCAGAAGATTCTGCATGACCAAAACTTTCAATAAATACTCTTTCTATCCTCATCTTCTGCAGTGCCTTACCACCAGTTGCTGCAGCTACTCGGATTGCTTCTTTTCCTTCGTCCATCTGTGACGAAATGTCAAAATTATCAGAACTGGATTGGATGCTTGTATGATGTATGTTTATAAAGTAAAAATTGCGCCAAGCACTTCCCACGCCAAGTCGTCTTTAGTTGATAAAGAATTGTTAAACCCTCTGAGAATAAGGTTAGTCGCAAACATGTTTCGCATAGAAATCCAACGGATCAAGTCAGTCAAACAGGTCCATACACATTCTTTCTCCGCTCTATCGGTAGTACTGTCTATCTGGCAACGTTGTCCACGACGCGTCAGACGCAGCAGCAATGTTGCCGAACCTACCGATTTTTCCGGATTTACTGAAATACCGAAAACGTCATTTTCCGCAATTTTTCAGATATCTCCAGATTTTTACCGAAAAAGCACTGGTAACAAAAATAAGGCTAAAAAGTGACTGATTTGTGGTCTATGTAGTTTTATGCTCCATACAAATCATACATATGCGTACACTTGGCAGTCAAGTGCAAGTCAAAAGTAGATTTGAGCTGTCTATAATTATGTAAGTATGCACATTCCTTACTCCGTTTCCGCTGTATTTTTGTGTATACAACAGGTACAGACTGGTAGATCACCGTCATAACCGGACAAGTAATAAGTAAACCAAAGCTCGTCTATTTTTTTTAAATATTATTAAAACAAAATATCAGGGGATGAAGCTTCAAGTTAAAAAAAAACTATCCTACAAACATGAATGGGAAAAGGTGTTCCCAAGATGGTTTTAAATGGCTTTGAAGTGAGACCAGCGTACAAGATGCAATGAAGATGTTATCAATTTTTCAGGAAAAGATGCCATCAAAAAACATGTATTTTGTGTGCCCTTGATCCACCTCTGAGCTTGGGACGGCACCGATTTCTTCTTCCTACCGATTTCGTATTTGAATCTCCCGAATTTCAACGACGCTATATCTACCGATTTTGGGCAGAATATATCTTATCAAACTTCTGTCAAATATCTGATAGATAGAAAACTTAACTGGAAAGAACATATTACATACATTTTGAAGAGAAGTTAGAATGCTTTTAACATTCTGAAGGTCTTTTCTCATCGGAAATAGGGAGCAGATCCAGCAGTGCGCTTAACCTTCTGCAGGACCTTACTACTTCTACTTTATGGGACTGCATCAAGAATCCACCTTCAAAAAATAGAATATCAAAAATTAGTGCCTTAGGCTCGGATATTTGAATGGCACTCCCATCAATGTCATGGAGGTCGAATGTATGGAACCTCCACTGCAAGTGAGACGACAAATGTTGAGCTACCACGCTTTATTTAAATTGGTCAGCAAGGGATTCATTAGTGAAATCCAGAAATTGTTTATTCGTGGATTAACGGCGAAGTACTGGCAACACAAAAGGCTTCCTCTGATCGTAGAGAGTTATGAGTGGCTTCTTCCTACCATCAAGAGGGTACACTCTAGTCAAATCAATTCATGTTACACACCTGAATATTCTGCATATATCTCTCCACCCGAAGTTATCTATATGGAATATTCCGAACTAGATTTATCAACACCTTACAAATTCCGGCATGATAATCTAGCACGATGGAGTGGATAGGAATAGATCTTGACGGATGGTTCGAAGAAAGAAAATTTAACGGGATGTTCATTTTATCACAGCAACAATTCCTATCACCAAGAATTCAAGCTACCACCTTCAGTATACACAGCAAAACCGGTCGTGATCAATCAAGCTATAGAATACTGTTTTCAATTTCAGGGAAATAATCATTTTGTCATGTTTACCGACTGTAGAAGTGCTGCAACAAAACTGGAGAATTGTCACCCCACTGCTGATTTTAATCATCTGGTGGCGAACATCTTCAACCGCATCCAGGAGCTGCATAGAATCGAGAAGACTATAACCATAGTCTGGTTCAAAGGCCACTCCGGTATAAAAGAAAACGAGATCGTAGATAATTTTGCAAAAAGAGCTACAACAGGCGATTACGTTCCGGGCATGAAAATTCCTTGTACTGATGCACATTTTCTAATCAGGCAACCACTAAAGAATAAGTGGAATAACCATTACAAAAGCAGTCCCAACAGGAAGTAACCTGAAATGTACGAGTATATAAGAGACTCTTCGAAGCAGACCTTGGTTTCAAGGAATTACATTAAAACCGTGAGCAGAATAAGAAGTGGTCATATCCTGACTCCCCATCATGAATCAAGAACTGGATACGTAGATGATTCACATTGCAGTTGCGGAAATATAGGAACCTTGCAGCACCTCATATTAGAATGTACAAGTTCTAATAGAGAAAATACTGAATTATTTAAATTTGGACTCGATTCTCAATTCTGAGAACCAGCGTGCTCACGAACTTTTATACAAGCATTGTTGTAAAATAGGCGTAACATTATAAAATGTAAATTTCAGTAAGTTTCTTTGAAAACATTAAGAAAACAAGAAAATATTGAAAAAAAAGAAATAGATCAGTATAAAGTAAAAAATATATAAAATACAGATAAAACAAACAATCTTGGAAACAAAGTAGAAAAAGGGGAAAAAATAAAAAGTATTGGCTGAGAAAAATAAAAACCTGTAAAAACAACAGCAATATGTTCGCATACACTATATGATAGAAATAGTATAGTGGTAATATTAAGTAATGAATGTTCTATTTTCTATTCTATTCAATTATTTGCGTATACTACGTAGGGCCCGGAAAGTTTAATATCTATGTGATAACTTAGAGGTTTTGAGAATAGCTTCTTTCGCGAAAAGTGTAATTTATAACTATTGAATGAAAAATATATTCCGTAAGTTGCAAATGGATAATCAATATCCCCACCATAAATAAATATCCAAATAACAGTATATTAGAACAGAAAATATGTACACTATGAATGATGGTCAATGAGTTCATCTAAAAAGGATTATCAATCTAGCAACACCTAATTTATTTCCGACTGAATAAGAACAGACGTGGTAAGACGCCTTCAGCTGTTTTGTGGATGCAATGTTTTCGGAGTCATCTCTTATCTCTCTCTAATTTTATTCGCATTGTCTGTCTTCTCTTTATATAACTACTTCTTGGCACCTTGAGCAAACTTGTTTACTTATTAAGTATGACATTGCGACGCAAGTACCAAAAACCGTGAAAAGAACTACATCTCAATGCGCTTGACGCGTTACTTGCAGTATATTTTTCTTTGTGCAAATGGAGGTTACCTGTTCGAATATATCATATCCTTGGCATGGACGTCCCAATCCTGCTACAGCGACCAAGGAAAACTCAGGATCGATGTTGTAGAACACCCTTACTTCACCTTTCTTTGGAGCGGGTGAAGCATTCAGCAACTCTGTCAGTCTGTGGCACACCATCGCATCATATCTGCCAAAAAGTAAAAATAGACATGGCTTTTGTTAGAATATAGTTTTCGTTTGCCAGACCACAGATGCTCGATGCCGTTGATTTTCGCGGTGTAGTAATGATCATTGCGAGTCACTGGTATATTGTGCCCCAGATCTATTTATATTTCTCCCCGTAATTCCGACCTCCTGGGGAATTCAATTAACGTATTTGGAGAAACACCTGAGTCAGGCAATTGCAAGGCTTCTTGCATAAAACACGCTCTCCCTCTCTACATGCGTTCACATCAGCGTGTTCCACCATGTCCAGCCTGCTCATGTTGTGACTCAATTTGCAATGCCCAGTGAGTCTCTTAACTTTTTTGGTAAGATTGGTATGGTTGGGTTAACTCTGTTAATTCCTGTTGGTGTAATCCGGAAACCGGAATCTCCCTGACCATGTCGGGAGGTGAGGTCCGCCATTGTATGGAGGTACTGCCAGGTCAGAGGGCTTAACTGTCATCAAAGGTTATTTGGGCGTGCAGTCTGAATCACAGGCTACCGTAATAGTTGAGGATGGTGTCCACCCTCACATCCTTTCCAGACTGCCAGATCGGAACCGGAAGCTAAGTTGAGGGATCTTTTTTAAACAAGTTAATTGTCTTTAAATTATTTTGAGTGGTGAAGTTTTACATTCTGTGCGATTCGGTACCGTACATGTATTGTGATTTGTATTAGTACTTTTCCTAGAAAGGTTTTTATCAAAAGGTGAAACGAATTCTGTGTGTCCTTACTTGTAGACGCAACCCTTAGATGGTCATGTGAAGGGTCGTCTTCTGGTCATGATTATTTAGTTAGTCGTATTGTACGCGATCCCGATCGCTGGCTGAGGCCATATGAAGGGTGTGGTAGCCCCATTCTTTGCCAGAGTGTCGGTTGTGTCGTTACCGTTTAGTCCTGGTATTCGTATGAGATACATCTTATTTTCATCCCCTATGTTACTAAGAGCTTTACAATTCCACACTAAGTTCGATTTTGGCTACGTGGAAGCAAATGCTTGACGGCGGCTTGACTACCTGAGAAAATGTCCATAGTTCTGTGCATCTAATTGTCGATCTGCGATCATTCTTGCATACAGTTCCTATAGAAAATCTATGCCCAGGTTCCTAGGCTGACTGATGTATAATCTTCACTTACGGTACGAACATACAGGCCTCAACGTCTACTATAGTCATATAGCTAAACCAGGCGATATATGAAGTATTTCTTGATTTAATATGAGAATTAGGCGCCTAACTTACATAAATCGTATAATTTTCCCTAGTTTGAGATATATTTTATAAGGAATCGAATATATTCATATTCACTAGATCTATTAAGTCAAAAATGCTTTCTGATTGGTCGAGCTTGCACGCCGGATTAGTAAAATCGAATTTTTATTGCGAGAGGAATTAAAAAAGCTTAGTGGATGTGAAACATACTTTATGATGTATGAAAAAGCGATTGAGGTACGGATGACTTACGAAATTTCTAGATTTTGATTATTCAATAGTCATGTTCATGTTTTTATGAAAGCAGTCAGCATTTTTAACATCGTTCATATATACAAGGTGTTTCACAACTTATCCAAAAAATTTAACTACATATGCATTGTTACGAAAGAACTTGATTTCTCAAAAAAAAAAAGTAATAAAAGCCCTACAGAAATCAAGTCATAAACATGAGTTAAATTGATCTTGTGTTTCGCGTTCATCGTTGTGATATTAGAACACGCATTAATAATTTATTGTAGTAAATGTTGTACCAAACAACTGACAAAAACACGAATTTTTTGTTTTTTGATACTGATAAGAACGTGTAAACAAGGTTTAATCTGTATCGTGAGTGATCTGAATGAAGAACAGTCGATTTTTGTGAAGTTAAATAAGAACATATTTTGCGAGCTTATGGTTTTAGTTTTTTATCAATAAAAATGGCACATGTGTACACTAACGAGCAGTTGGTGGACATTGTTTTAGCGAACGGAGAAGCAGCGTTCAGTGGATGGGGGTCGGGTTCGCCCACAACGCGTTTCAAATGCCGAAGACGAAATTTTGGATATTGTGGAAAAAAATCCGGGAATAAGCACAAGGCAGTTAGCCCAATAGGTCACAGAAGTGTCACATGCAACAGCGTGACGCATATTACATGAGGCCCAACTGTACCCTTATCATGTCCAGAGAGTCTAGGCGTTGCTACCTACAGACTACTCTCTAAGTGTGTAAGTGGTTGTTGCAAGAAAATGCTCGAAATTGCCGTTTTACAGCTGATATTTGAAACAACCTCTATAATATATATTTTTGAAGTATGTACTGAAAGTTAGATAAAATTCTACAGCTCCATATAATATCAAGTGCAATAATTTCCAGAGACAGCTGGTACGCATGGGAAGACAGCTTAAGCTTAATCACATATGTTTTTTCTGGTCATTTGCGGCAGAGCTAAGGATTTAAACCTAGCACACTAATGCTAAGAAACGCACATAGCACTTCTATACACTTCATATGGAAATGTCAATCACAGAACAAAAAATTTTGCATCAAAGCAGCATTTTACATGTTTCGTTTATCCGCACCGCAGTTATTTCTTGAGGCCTCACAAAATAAGCTTCAACAGTTTTTGATATTTTAGTTATAAACATTCGATAAAGCCCGCGTCGAGCCAACACTTTCTATCTGATCTACGTGAGCAACCTAAGTAGTAAGTAAACAGATTGACAGAGAGCTTTTGCAAAATACCTGGCTGCAGTCGGTGTCAGCGATCCATGTTCTGTATGGTCATCTGAGTTAGTGTATAATCCCAAAACTAACCCTTTTGATCGTGGAGCCTTACATGCAGTCTCGTCATTAGATGGACAGAATGAATCTTCGGTTGTATATGTTCTTCTTGTTGGAGTACAAATGCTCTGAATCAATGGTTTTTTAAGAAGGCCCCGAAGTAAAGACATGTTGGGCTCCCCTCACTAGAATTTTGAGAAATTTGGGGACTGAGCTAATTTAATGACTGACCGAAAGGGGTTTTTTGACTTTTGAATTTGATTGATGACATGCCCACCATGGTATCGCAAGCTTACTTACAGGGTGTCGTCATCAACATAAAGGTATGGTCCAGGAAGCATCTTCGCATCCGTTCGGAGAAACTTTCTGGTTATTTTGCGTGATATATTCAAGACACATGTTAACAATTTACATAAAGCCCCAAAAGTGGCAACGACTGAATATTTTGTGTTCCGATATTATCCTGACTTTGGAACCAGTTGACCTCTAAGTCACCTTGAATAACGATCAAGGTTCATTTCTGAACCGCTTCCTCACCAGCAGTTGACCTCTAAATTACCTTGAAAATCACGGTCGATGTCATCTAAGAACATGCATTTTTTCACCCTACATTGATGAGATCAAAAGGGCCAATAATCCCTAATGCTTGTCTGGTCAAATACAAAAGCACATACAAAGAAATCCAAATATCACTGAACGAGAGAAAAGCGACAAATAGCGTGCAATACGTATGGTAGAAAGAGTGCGCCGATGGCAACGCGGTAAGCCGCACCTGCGTCCGTGATCCCGTCTCTCGGGTTGCTAGGCAACGTGGGTGATTCTATGTCTTTCCAACATACGTATTGCACGCTTCTCGTGCTTCTCTCTCGTACAAATAACATCTCCAGTGGTATATGGATTTCTCTATATACCTATTAAAAGATGTTCTTTACTGTAGTAAACGGTTCAATTATAAAGATGACCTGCTTCAGTATAATAACGAAAGTCCGTAGTTTAATATACCAATAAGTACCACGACAAACTTAAGAAGATGGTAGACTTTGGACTGACCTCCTAAATAACAAAAACTTACCTATATAAAAGTGTCACCGTGTTTTGAGATACTGATATTTCCTTAAATTTAAAAAACTAACCTTTTCATCTGTGGTCTTTAGCTGCATGTTCAAATAAGGTTATACTTTGTTCATTTTTTCTATAAAATACTTCTAGATTGTTGCTTTATCATAATACAAATGCAATGTAGTTAAAAGGTATTAAGGAACCATGATCAAATAACCATCTGTGGTGAAACAAAAATGTACTGGAGTATAAGTGCATTATATTGAATAAAAAGGTTGCTCATTGAATACAGATTCCAGAAAGGCACCACACGTACTATTTGGAACAGAAAAAGGTGCTTTTGGTAGTGACTGACACACACTACAATGTAAATATTGGATTTAAATTCAAACTGCACTGGTTACCGATCAGTGACATGCTAAACAGTAGATCTACATTATTATCACCTGCTCCTGATATGATTTTATGAAAGCTGAGTAAACAATATCAGAAGGTTATAAATCCCAAAACAGTCCTTATTTTATCATGGTTCCTTAATATATTTCAACTACATTTATTTTATTTGTATATGATAAATCAACTATCTAGAAGTATATTATAGAAAAAATAAACAAAGTATTACCTTATTTGTACATGCAGCTAAAGACCACAGATGAAGAGGTTCTTTTTTTAAATTTATGAAAAAATTGAATATCTCAAAAACGGTGACACTTTTATATAGGTAAGTTTTTGTTATTTGGGAGGTCAATCCAAATCCTACCTTCTCCTTAAGTTTGTCGTGGTACTTATTGGTTTTTATCAGCCATACAAGTATTGAGGATTGTCATGTAAGCCATAGGATAAGTTAGATATGTTGCATGAATCACCATTTCAAGCATCTAAGGTTGAGGTCTTTTAGATTGTCTTGACTATATTTTTAGTAGGAGGGCTCAACCACGCTAAATGAATAGTTACTCGAGCATCGCGAAGACTCATTGGATTTTGAAGATTGGAGCGCAAAAAGGTTATTTGATACCCTTTTACTGGTGGGGAGGCTCTACAGGTTGTCAAAAATCCAAATCAAATAGCAGCGTAGAAATACTCTAGCGTGTCACAGATTCATATTGTGTTTGCAAAAAATGACGCCGGCTGTACATCGACAACAAATCAACCTAGAGCAATCGGTTATAGAATTTTGTAATAAAAATAAGTTACTAAGGTGGCCGCTAGAGGGCGCAACTCTAACCTCAAAATTAGAAATACCATTTTTTCAGAAACCTCAAAACCAATGGTATTATTATTATTTATTACAGGAAAAATCCAACAAACTAGTGAAAACAACATGACGTTACCTTTATGAGTTATAGAGTATCTTCGCAAGTCTGTGACACTCCCACTTCTTGACGTCACGCCCAGATCGTCTGATTATTATTGATTACTGATTATTATTGTCAGATTCCCATCTTGTAATTTTATTTCGTAAAAATCAATAAATAATTCGCCCACCTTATTTCTATCTCACATACTGCTCGTTTCATCCTCCGATATACTATGACTTTATGCCATTATTTCTTATTCTCTTATATTTTGTCATGGTATAGTAATCAATGTTAACAAATGCTGACACCCATCACTAACCTAGTACGTGACCGATTATTTTGTGAAGAGCATGAACTTTTTGCACCGTTTAACAGGAGGGTATCATTTTTATAGAGCGGTTTAAGAAAAGGTCCTTCTATTCATTTTTTAAATGTGTCAAATCAGTAAGCTGAAATCCGATGTGATAAAATTGACAAAAATACTATATTTAAACGTTAAGGTGGTAGTTAATAATTTTAAGATAGTGGCTGGGCACCATATTGGAACATATAACGTAATAGAGGGTCTAGCGATGCCCCATTTGAAGCTGCTTATGAGTGTTTTATAAGACTAGACAATAAAGTAAAAAGAAGTAAGAAAATAAAATCTTTTAAAAAGCACACCCGCAGTCTGTCAATATGTAGAGCGTCTTTGTACTTAGAATCGCCTGGTGGTCAACAACCAATCACCAAAATGCTTTATAGTATCTCATACAAATATCCTTAGGAGGATTTATCCGACTACGTAATGAAACATGACATATTCTACCTGGAAGAACTCTAAGAGCTCAGTGAATGTGAAGAGATGTTATGTTCAAGGGTATACGAGTATCTAAGGCTTTAGGCAAAATTAGAAGTGCTATTTTTTCAGAAACTTCAAAAGCAATGGTATTGTTATTATTTATTATTCAGAAAGTGCATGAAAAAACCTACAAACTGGTAAACACCACAAGTGGTTATCTTTATTAGTTATATAGTTTCTTTGCTAATTTGTGACACTTCCATTCCTTCACGTCACACCCAAACCATCAGATTACTAAAATACACACTTTTCCGAATGTGATTTATCCACCTTATTTCAATCTAACGCACAAGAGTATTTCTAAACATAGACCTTTTTAACTATTTTGTTCGGCTGCCCTATAAAGGGCTATACAGGGTTTTCGTAAAGTATAGACGCATTTATGTTAAAAAAACAGCGGATTTTCCCAGTAGCATATACAGCGTACGACAAAAAATGGGGCAGAAAGGCGGAAGGCAGATCTAAAACATACCAAAAATGACTCTATTAAAAGTTTCACTGTTTTTGATATATTAATTTTTTTTGTCTTTTTCGAAAAATTCCGTCACAACAAAAGATAGATTAAAATAACAGAGACTTATACTAATACACTTGTTCCACCCGTGCCTCCACTGCTCGAAATATATTTTAAGGTCTTCCTTAGAAATATCTGACAGCTCCTCTCTCGTTTTTTCCTGACCTTTCGTCATAGCCGCGTCCTTCCATGCCCCTTTTCATCTGTGGAAAAAAGAAAAAGTCGCACGGAGCCATGTCAGGCGAATAAGGTGAGTGAGGCACCGGAAAACCATGCCATTTTTAGGTATAAACTGTCGCACAGAGATGGCGGTGTGCGCAGGTGCATTATCGTGGTGGAAGAACCAGTCTCCTGACTGCCACAAATCGTTTTTTTTTTGCCGAACACTGTTTCGCAATCGTCTTAAGGTCGCAATTTTTAAATCGAGTAAACCACACGTACATCGAGTTTTTCTCATAGCATCATCTTTGTAAGCTATTTTCAACATTAAAACAGTTTCAGTAGCATTTTTACCAATTAGAAAGCAAAGTTTCACAGCTGCACGTTGCTCACTGAAGGTTGCTATCGTAAAAAATGAAACAAGCACGAAACAGCTCTAGCAAAAATAATGACTACAGAGGAACGAATAAGGTCAAATCGATAGCTCAGGTGGCACTAAACTGGTAATTAGTTGCGCTGTACCCCTCTAGGGGCAGAAACGTGTACTACACAAGCTCCGCCCACTGCAATGCTATTCCGGTCATTTTTCAAAATAGCACACTCGTACAGCAATATCGAACTTGTAGTGTTTTCAAAATGTCACCGCCTACTTGTGAATATGCTTTTCATAACAGTAAATATGGCACAGGTATCGGTATAGGGACTGCAATAAAGTCTCCTTGCGATCAAAATATAAAGCATATCCTTGGAGGTGTCATTCAGGTTTGGCCCGATATTAGCACTTATATTAAAGTGGCTCGAAAATTATTCCCCGAGATTCCTCATAAGAGAGCCAGCGGAGCTGAATAACACGGAGGCGTCCATATTGGAAATGACGGAGCTATTGGAATTCTGACGTTCTTCAGAGGAGTGAGGAATCCTTTGGAATCACCCACGTGCAAGTTATTGATAATCTCAATTTAGAAAAGATTGAAGAGCTACCTATTAGTTCTATCAGCTCGGCTCGTGAGAAATACATACAGGGTGTTGAAAACCCTTCCGAACACGCCTCTATGCCAGAAAATGCAGCTTTAACAAATAGTAGGGACCTTACTCGATCGCGGCAGATTAGGATAAGGAAGGATACCTTGCGTTCTGTTAAGTACCTCCATCATGTACAGGGTATCCTGAAAGTTGGAACTTTCATTTCTAGGAGCAACTACGCTTGAAACAACAAAGCTAATGAGTGGTGAAATAGTAGTAAAATTGTAGGAAAAGATAACTGAAAAAGTACTCACCGTTTATTTACAAAGAAATTCCAAGTACGCCTCTGACACTGATCGAAGTTGGCGTTGGTAAAATGTTTCGTAGAAAGTATAGGTATTGTAAACCGTCCAGCTGATTCAGGAAAATAAAAGATCCAATGACCATGC